TGCGAAATGACAATGATGATATTAGAACAAAGAAAAAGAGCAAACAGGGACTTGGGGGCAGAGGGAACAGTGACATCTTCAACTTCTTCCCAAGTCTGTCTGCAGACAAACGGGGGCCGCTTGCCTTGCCTCCAAGAGCAGTTGTCTGATGGCATTTGCTTGTGGTTTGCTCTTACATTTTTTTCTCACTGGGTAATACAGAATTACAACATGCGCACCACTTTAGTGCTCAACATTCCTGAGGGAATTGCAGCTACTTTATGCTCACATGCAACTCCAAAGAAGAGTTATGGGGAGGGCTCCGAGACTCCAAAAAAAAAAAAAAAAAAAAAAAGATATGCAGGAAAATGGCCTTAGGGTGAAAGGGGTAAGGACACAGAGGAAGAGCTGGGCTAGATTAAAAACTTGGTGTGTTTTGTAAAGAAGACAAGATAAAGTCCTGAGAACATTTTTTTTAGTCCATTAGTGTATGCAATTTGTGTTAAAATATTTATTTGTGGATGAATATTAATGTTTAAGCAATCTATTACTTTCTGTAATAATTTTGATTGTGAAAATCAAAGCCAAAGCTCTGAACTCTACAAATAAATTTCTAGATGTACAATAAAGTGAGTCAGACGTAGAGGAGAGGAAAGATGAAAAAGCGCAGATCCTGAATTGAAGGTCATAAAAATCTGTGAAGGAACAGAAAAGAGGGTCTGGAGAGATGACTTGGCAGTTAAGAGCACTGTCTGCTCTTCCTGAAGACCAGGGTTCAATTCCCAAGACCCATGTGACAGACGCCAATCATCTGTAATTCTAGTTCCAGGGAATCTGACACCCTCTCTCGGCCCCAACAGGCATTAGGAATGCAAGTGGCACACAGATACATGAGCAGGCCAAGCACCCATATGCATAAAACAAAATAATATTTTTTTAAAAGAGAAAAGATGTTTGGAAATAGCGACAAGGACCCAAAAGAGAATAACAAGATTCATTTTTCCTGAGTGCATACCATGTGCAGGTACCACATTTCACAGCATGTAGAAGAAAGGCCATTGCCTTACCTATGAGGATAGTGTTACCCAGAGTGAAGGAGTATCATCCAGACTGTAGGGGCTAAAAGAGACACAGCCTGGATTGGGACTTGCAACCTGTCTGATCGGAAGTCCACTCTCTCTCCTTTCAGCGTGGTGTAATATAATAAACCGCATAGATAACCTTCTGTGGGGATCTGGGAAAGGAAGACCATCCCTTCGCTAAAGGAGAGGAAAAACATCTTACTGTAGAAGCAGCACTACAATGTGACGGACGACTGTGTTCGGATGCGTGGACACGAGGCTTAAGAGGAAGCAGCCCCAGGGAAAGGGGAAAACAACACTTGGAAGAGAAAATGTAAATGGTTCAGTATGGTTTGAACAAAGCACAGAGTCCATAAAGAACTTCAATAAAAACCAATGGAAGGTGAGACAATAGAACAAAACCAGGGCATTCTGTCAAACTCTAGACAGAGAACATCAAGACTCAAAGGTTTGGCACCAGGAAATGGATATTATCGAAACCATGGTCGAAGATTTTATCTGGTCAACATAGGTGATAGGCACCCATTGATTTCTCTTTATTTAACCCTTGATTCCTCCATTTGTTAGGGAAAAGACAAGCATTCGCCCTGTCGACTTGCCTCCCTAGAGCATCAGTGTGAGGGGGATACTGGGAGAGATGCAGGAGAAAGCTAGAATCCTGCCAGGTATTCTGTGAGTTAAAGGGATTTAGTATCCCACCTGATGTGCACAGCGCCATCACAGTTCAGGTTAATAGTTCTGACTTTGACATTAGGCAGGAGGAAGAGATGGCGGGAGACCTGGGACAAGGAGAGCAACATAGAAAGGGAATGGGGGTGGGAGTCAGCAAATGATTCAACAAGAATAAAGGAGTCAAGATCTGGACAGAAACCCACCATTCATACCAAGGCCCAATCCACTAGGACCATTCTTAGAGCAACGTATAGATCCCAAGTCATCTGCATGCTTGTTGGGGTTCATAAAAATCTCCTTTAATACCACACGTCTGAACTCTATATTGAGCTTTGGGGTGCTCATGCAGACAGAGAAATGCTCATGGGTGGGGTCTAGGTCATTCTCAGAAGTGCTGGGTCTGGGCAGTTCAGAACCTTCACACTTCACAGATCAGTTTTTCAAAGAAGACATACAAACGGGAAAGAGGTCTATGAAAAGGTGTTTGGTATCATCAATAATAAGGCAAATGCAAGTGAGATTATAATAAGAGTTCATGCCGCCACCTGTTTGGATGGCTACAATTCAAAAGGCAAAGAGAGGTTTTTGTGAAGATATGGAGAAAAGTGAATTATTGCATTGTCGTTAGGAATGCAAAGCAGAACTGTCATTACATAAACAGTATGTCAGTTCTTCAGAATCTAAAAACAGAATTATTATATAATACTGTGTGTTGAAGATCTATACTCCCATGTTTATTATAGCAACTAAGATCTGGGATCCGCCATAATATCCATCAATAAATGGATGCAAAAGAAACGGGCTATACATACACAATCAGTGATTTACTTAGCCACAGAAATGAAATACCACGATTTGCAGCAATATGAATGAACCTGGAGGACAATATGTTCAATAAAATAAGCCACGCACAGAGAGAAATGTTCTGTGATTGCACATATGTAGAATCCATTGCAACAGAATGAAATGGAATCAGCCTGAGTATCTTAATGGATGAATAGAAAGATGTGGTATGTATACATGATGGAGTATCATCTGTCTGGAAAGGGAAGCTATTTCTCCATTGTGATAGCACAGTATCCTATGAATTCATCCATGTTAAGTGAAATCAGAGAAAACCAGACAGAGAGAGGCAAACAGTGTATGATGATTTCAACTTGATTTGAGAAATTGAAAAGGCTGGTCTTAATAGAAGCGTAGAACAGGGGCAGCAGCAATAGAGACATGCTGGCAAAAAGCACAGTCAGTGATCAGACGACAAGTTCTGAGGCTTTAATCCGGCACTGGTTGGGGAGAGGCAGATATTTTCACTTATTTAATTGTAATGATTGAACAAGGTATATGCCTATGAACTCAAGTTTTATACCTTGCATGTATTCAACATTATCAATGAAACATAGCGTTTTATATGAATGCATTATCATATTCTGATGTAAGAGATGTGTACAATTTCTAAATGAAAAATAAAACCCAGAATAATCACAAAACAGAGATTGTATCTGTCTTATTCACCAGCACACCCTGGTGATAGAATATGGATCAATAAATGGATGATGGGTCCCCTTCATCCCATATAGAAGACTTCCTGAAGCAGATCAGAACTATTGGCATCAACACGGACACGTGACTCAAGAATGAAGGGATCCCGACCGATGGCTAACCACACCAACTTCCTGTCTTTCGAGGTGAGGGTTCTGAGGAATCTTCTGCATCATTCCTCTACAAGGTGTTCAGCAGGGAATGGCCTCAGTGACCCCTGGACCCACCAGTTCACAAACACAGCTAGTTCCTGCTCTCCTCCACCCCAGCATCTTACTCTATGCCCACATGGTGCACCCGAGGCCACTTCTCAAATGTTGAATGTCCATAAATTATACTAAGAATGCTTTCTGATGCTAGGAAAGGTGGCCTAGACTAAGACAGAGGTCCTAGTAAGAGTTAAAATATTATTCTCTTTCCAAGTCAAAGCTCACTTCATTACACTCTGTTATCCTCCTTTCTGGAAAGAACTGAGTGATGCGGGGCTTCCAGATTTAGATGTAGTCATACTACTGTGCCATCCAGTTAAGTAATTTACTATAACCACAAACATACATGCATATGTGCGCACATAGACACACCCAGACACACACGCGCTTCTCAGGATTATTGTTGGCACTGAGGGAAATGGAGTATGAAAAGTGGTAAACCACAGTTTACTTTGTATGCTTCCCAACAGAGAATAGCAAGTTCGAATTCTAAGAAGCCAAAACTCTCTTCTATAAATTCATACTTTTAACTCTAACTAACTTGGACTACAAGGGGAAAAGTTACAAACGATGAACATTCTCAGTATCAATGTAAGTTAAAAGTCTAACTTTTCCCATAGCTTAGTGTGAAAAGGAGTGCTGTACTGAAGTAAATGTGCTTTTCTGTTTGTATTATTACACAGCCGTATATATGGAGCTCAGAACAACTAAAAAAGTGTTCACATGATGCAGAATGAAGGTTAACATATAATGAACTCGTGATATCAGCTACAAAGCTGTCTACAAAATGGCCTATCAGGAAACAATCTTGGTGAAGAAAGACCAATAGGAACACAAGTGATCACACGGCTTACATGGAATGCAGTGTTTAAGGTCCAACCCTCTCAGTGGCCATTAGCACCCTACAGACTGAGGCAGTACTGAGTCTTTTGAGTTGGGATTTGCTCTACTATTTGTGAGAACTTGCTTCATTTTTATCATTCTGTCCTTACACACTTTCCTCCACCTCTCAAAAACGGTTCCTTTTCTTCAGTTGAGATTCAGAGTTCAAAATATTGTCTGTCAGCCACATTGCGCTGACTTATAAATCATGTCCGCAGCCATTGATGTGTGTTGAAAACTCAGAGCAAAGTTAGGGTCTGTCTACACTGAACCAGAAGCAGCTAGCAGGATCACAACGTAAATAAGGAGCCCGGATTCACAGCTGCTTTAGTACGCCATTAATCAGCATCTAAATGCACACTAGTCCATGTCTGTATGAACCTGGTTGCCCTGCCTCTGAAGTCCCAGGGCACTGGTTTGGGTCACTTAGGAGTTTCACTCTCTGAGAGGGCATATTGTTAAGTTGCCATCTGGCCCCACAGGTGAAGTGGCTCACACAACCCTGAAGAGGTCCCAGGGGTCATTCCTGGGCAATAGCAGCCCAATTATCAGTTCATAGCTTTCTTCAGTTCTTCAAAAAGGATGGAAGGAAAACCTCTCAAATAGGAGTTAGTGGGTCAGAAAAGAGATCACTTACCTGGGGACCGGGCTGACCCTGAAATTGAAAAGAAGAAAAACAATTATAAAATTGACATTTACAATGAATATTTCCAATCTACCTTTCAATAAAATGAAATTTAAAATAGTTCTAAACATTGTTAAAAACATTTCTGAAGATAGTAATATTGGTAACTTCCTATTGGGTCTTAATATTTTGATCCTGTGAATTGAAACGACTGGGCTTACAGCTATGGCACAAGAGTGATTGAGTGTGCTCTGGCATCTGATTGGGGACGGAGACCCCCCCCCCCATCACAGTGATGTGTGAACAGGACACTGAAGGCACAGGTCTTCTGGCACATGGTTACTGACCTGCACATTTTGACATGGCAGAGCTACAACTACAAAAAGGAGACCCTGGCTCTCTCATTGCTCCAATGCTTTGAGGTTTTGTTTCTTTTTGTAATCGTTTATTCTTTGTTTTCCTTTTATATCTGTTTCTTACAGTATCACTTTTATCTTTTATTTTGATTTTAGAAGCAGAACATAGGCTTAAATTCCTATGTTCAATTAGATCTGTGGCTTGAGAGGTCATAGGTCCCAGGGGACAATCTACTATTATTGTGCTAAATGGACATACTAGTAAACTGACTCCCAGGGCCTTATTGTCAGAATTGCATCTCTTAACCCTAATCAAAGAAGCTTCTATTTGAAGTAGATGGTGGTTAATACAGAGGCCCACAACTGGCCAAGGCACAGAAGAGAATAAGAAACTTAAGAACGCTCAACCCTGAATGGAACATCTAGATCACACCCTCTTCTCTCAAGGTCCACAGATCTTTGTGGAAGAACAAGCAGAAAGGCTGTGTGAGCTATGAACCAGAGGTGGCCCATGACTACAAGGATAGTGTTCTCTGGACACAAGAAGGCAACTACATATATGAACTCATAGTAGTTACTACAGCAGGCACAACACAGTTCAAGATCAGGTGATACAAAATCTAAGCATGGAAAGAGAAGGAAGACACGAAATCTCAGTCCTACCCAAGGAGCAACTGGCAATTGATAATGTCTGGGAGGGAAATAGAAAGTCCATTTTCTTGAAGAGTGTTGCTACTGGCAGCTTGACCACGCTCAAGTGGCAGGTCACACATCTGGGAATATTTGGGGAGCACAAGCTGAACTTGGCAGGATCGGGGAAAGAATGAGAACAAGAAATTGTGTGGGTAGAGAGGAAGGAGCAGCTCTGGAAGGAGTTCAGGGCATTGTGAATCCAGTCAAAGCTCATTCTACAAAATTCTCAAGGAACCAAAATAGATAACCTTTAAAAACATCTAAAGTATCATGAGGAAACAGTCTGTTTCATATACAACACACCTTGATTTAACTATATAATTATTTATCTTCAAATAATTTTTCTGTGATCTGATCCATTTTAATCTTTTTTATTATTTCAGTAAGTTTGTGCTTTGCCAATTTCACACATGGATATGCAGCCTCCCCCCCACTTCCACCTCCTTACCACCCCTTTCTCTTTCCTCTCTTCCATACAGAGCTTTTCCTTGAGTTCCTTCAATTGGTAAACAGAGAAACTAAAACTCAAGAGAAGAAAGCTGGACCTCATACTGAAAAGTCAGAATTTACCTCCAAACTAATCGCAAAGCCCAAGCATTTCCTTCAGCCCTTCTGCCTTTGCCTCTACAATATTTTTTAAAATTTTTTAATTGATTTTATTGAGCTATACATTTTTCTCTGCTCCCCTCCTTTCCTCTCCCCTCCCCTTCAACCCTCTCCCATGGTAGCCATGCTCCCAATTTACTCAGGAGATCTTTTCTTTTTCTACTTCCCATGTAGATTAGATTCATGTATGTCTCTCTTTGGGTCCTCATTGTTGTCTAGGTTCTCTGGGGTTGTGAATTGTAGCCTGGTTTTCTTTGCTTTATGTCTAAAAGCCACTTATGAGGGAGTACATATGTTATTTGTCTTTCTGGATCTGGGTTACCTCATTCAATATGTTTTCTAGATCTATTCATTTGCCTGCAAATTTCAAGATGTCATTATTTTTTTTCTGCTGTGTAAATGTACCACATTTTCCTTATCCATTTTTTGGTTGAGTGCCATCAAAAGAACAAATAATCTAATGAAAAAAATGGAGTACAGATCTAAACAGAGAACTCTAAACAGAGGAATCTAAAATGGCAGAAAGACACTTAAGGAAATGTTCAGTATCCTTAGCCATCAGAGAAATGCAAATCAAAACAACTCTGAGATTCCATCTTACACCTGTAAGAATGGCCAAGATCAAAAACACTGATGGCAAGTTATGCTGGAGAGAATGTGGGGTCAAGAGAACACTCCTGAATTGATGGGGGAAGTGCAAACTGGTACAGCCTCTTTGGATGTCAGTATGGTGATTTCTCAAAAAATTAGGAAACAACCTACCTCAAGACCCAGAAATACCACCTTGGGGTATATACCCAAAGGATGCTCAATCATACCATAAGAACATGTGCTCAGCTATGTTCATGGCAGCATTGTTCGTCATTGCCAGAACCTGGAAACAACCTAAATGCCTCTACAATATCTTTTAAGATTGTTTATTTTTATTTCATGCGAATGGCTGTTTGCCTGAATGTACAGATGGGCACCATGTGGGCATCCTGTGTCTAAGGAGACAAAAGGAGGGAGTCAGATCCCCTGGAACTGGCCACAGAAGGTTGTGGTAAAACGTGTGTACTGAGACTCTAACATGGGTGCTCTGGAATAGCAACAATTGCTCTTATCTGCTAAGCCACCTCTCCACCCTCTCCCTCTGGAAATTGAGGCTCATAGATGTTTGCAAAGTCCCTGACATTGACTCTGGCTAATTCTCTTTGAGTGAGGAGACTCTCTTCATCCTGACTGTCCCTGAGCAGCCACAGTGCACACCCTCCTCAAACACCTCAGTGACACATGCTTTCCAGTACACTGGCCACTAAAGACACTCTTTAGAATCTCCTTATGGCTTCTGATAGGTTCAATGAGAGACAGAGGTGATTCCTACCAGTGCTGGATAGTTGCCTGGTCCACTGTGGTGAAGATTTCTAGCAACTACCTATAAAAGCCAGACTTTTCATTCGGGTTTCTAAAACACACTCCAAAAGCGTACTTACAAATTATGGCTAACATTCCCGAAACCCAACCAGTTGATTTTTCTAAAATGAAATGACTGAAAAGACTCTTTCTGCCCATGCAAATCATCAAAATGTTTCTACAAATCAAAGTTCGAATCAAGAAAAACCAAGAGGCATGCCAAGCGAAACAGTTAAATCACAGAACTCCTGAAGTCAGGAGCCTGCCTGCAGAAGCAGAGAATACCCAGGTGCTGAGCTGGCTGATTTACTGTCTGGCAGCAGGGAGGGCAATGCTCCTGCCTCTGGCCCCAGCAGGAGGGAAGAAAGGGAGCCTGCAGGAGGAGCAGACTCTAAAGAGCTAATCAGAACAGGATGGTGGAGAGCAATCAGCCGGAAGCTGATGCTTGATGGGAGAGTCTTCCTTCCAAGGAAACTGAGCATTTGGGCAAACAAATAAACCACAATGAAGATGATAAATGAGCTGACCCATCACTGGGGTAGGCATTGTTACTTGAGGCAATTAAAGTGCAATATTGGCTATTCTTTGTTGGGCTGTTATCACAATTACGGTTGGCAGAAAGTGCTAACAACTTTTCAAATCGACAAAGTCATTTGGGTTTCTGACTGAGGTAATTAGTTTCACTATACGATACTTTTTTTTTTTTTAATAGATAAGAACTCTGTCATTCCTTGCAAATGGTACAAAAGCTGTTTTTTTTTTTCATTTAACACATTCACCAATAGGGATACAAAAGTCAGCTTAAAACACCGTATCATTTTAGATATTGATTATGGTCGCAGACTCACAAGTATCTTTGATCAATGCGACAGAAAAGCCTTCCAGCTACACAAATTTAAGACGATATTAGTACCAGGCGCCTCTTAAGCCTGCAATGCACACGCTTGGACAGAAGGCTCTGTTTCCTTTTCAGGTGAAGATGCAGCAGCTACAGAGAAGTTCAGCTAAGCTGCAGAGCCACAGAGCTCTGGATGGTGGCTGGCCTGTTCCTAAGGGTCAGTGGGATTCTGGTAAGGAGCCTGTAGCTGTACCGAGTTGCCAGTCTAGGGTGTGCGCTGGGTCTGTGAGCAAGCGAGTCTTAGCCACCTTCCATGCACTGAGATTGGCCACATTTCAGTATCCACTCTATCAAGTCCTCACTGTTAGGTGCCTTCAAAATGGCTGCTGAATATGTGTGAGTTAGAACTATTCAGACTGGCCCAAAGGGGTTGACAATGATCCTTTCCAATATGCATTGAAAGGGCTGCTGTTATACTTTAAGGAGTTATATTTTCAAGAGCAGCCTCTTGACCTCCTGTTCCAGAAAGGCCTTGTGGGTTCTCTTCACTGCAGAATAAATGCATCTGCCCTGCAGTGGGTTCTTCTCCGGGAAATGAAGCTGGCACTCTGGTGCTCACAGACTACAGAGGTTCCAACCTAGACAAGTGTCCCCATGGATACCTGTGTGCCACCCGAGAGGAGCTCTGACCTGAACAAAAATGTCTCCCTTCCTTAAGACCACATCCACTTAATAGGAGGACTATCTGTCGAACTACTTTGCAAACTGCATTCTACAAATAAGCACTGGCTTCGGTTGACTATACGGTCAATAAGAAGAACTCACTCGACATAAATTTATAGAAAACTTAACATTGAAACTAGTATGCAAATGATATATTAGAGAGAAGCAACTGATAAAACAGGCCATCGTAGGATACACACACACACACACACACATATATCTTAAAACTGGTCTTGCAAAGGCTGCATAATCCATCAGTATCTGAACCGCATTTATATCAGAAATCTCTTATACATTCGACTGAGCTAAACATTATTCCTAGTTTATAACACTGTCTGCTACCATACAAGGCCACTCTCAGTAGGTGGGTATTTCCTTCTCAGCAGTCACAGTCCTTCAATTCGGTGGTCTTTGGTGGTTTA